TGAAGTATACTACTAAACAAAAATAATAAAAATATCGAGTAACATGATTCTACCTCAGCAATTTCGTTCGTTCGAATATCAGTTCAAGTCTGTCAACGCGTATTAATGTTTATGTACATTTTGGTTCGTTACGATAGCAGTCGATCTATGTTCTCGATTTGTTCGCACGATAAGGTCAAATTCGTATTAAATCTGTACCTGCTTCGTACGTCGTTGAGACATCGGAAACCAGCAAGATAAATGCTGTAATAATAAAATAGTGACGTACAATGGAGATCACGATACTGATTTCGTCGGGTTCCATCGCGGTCGCGTCGGCCAAGCGTGGATCCAGTACGGATGCACGACACGGATCGGTCCCGCTACGGGCGGTACGGAATCTGCATAAAACTCGTAACGGTACACGTTCTTAGGTTTCACGGGCTCTTCTGAAAACCTCCCCGAAGCCGATAATTGTGACTAAGTACGGTTCAGGTCCGGTATTCGCACACGCTCGTGATAATAAATTTTTCCTTCGAACTCGGGCCGACTATTTAGGGAAATTGGAATGGGAACGGGAATTCGACTCTGAAAATTTCACGAGCGGTCGAATCGATTTACCTAGGCCAGTTCTTCATGTATTAGGATGGTATTAGGTGGAGAGAAAATTGTGGCTGCGTGCAGAACGAAGCGAGTGCCTCCGGGAGCGCGGCTCTTAATTATTCTCAGACAAATTCTTTTGAACGGTAACATGACGCTGATATCACGAAGTTTGTCGGCCGGGATTCGAGTTTCTCGCTGGAATGGAAATCTAATTCCCTGGTATCGTTTAAGGTTTAAGGAAGACGGCGAGAAGTCGACGTGGCTTCTTCGGGGAAACGGAGCGGTTTATAAAAAAGAAAGAGATCCGTCTATTTCTTGCCGGAACAGCCGGCTAGAAATACCGTTCACAAAGACGCATAAGCAAAATTGAAATTTCGCTAGTATCGCGTCCGTATTCTTAGTGCGGAATTTAATTAAATCCTTTCTAACCACGGGTTTTTCGTTTCAAACGAAAATGTAATCTGGACTTTTGTCTCGTTCCGGTGTAACCGGCGCAACGGGGAGTTATTTTGCTCTCTATTGGCTTTTTCTGCAGGCGACGGGTTTCTCGTTTCATTTACTATCTTTGTTTGAAATTGTTCGCGAAACTATCAGCGAATGGGCCGTAATTGGAGAGGAACCTGTCGCGCATTTATTTTTCCTTCGAGAGAGGACAACAGTTTCTGAACAAAATATTTAACGGCGTCTTCGCTCTCGACTCTGCTTTATGCAATCATTTTCTCGGTTCGCGTGTCAGCTTACTTCAGTAGATCTTATTTGTAGAAATCAGAACGGTTTAACTTTGGTTTAATAAATTCTTTATTCGTAACAAAGTAAATATAAGTGCTGGCGAATGCGTATTAATTGTATGGCAACTCAGTCCAGGCCCGACTGACTCGGGCTTTTCCCCGTCGAGGGCCATTCGTTGTTTATGTTAGTCCACCCCAATCATTCACCTTATCATACTTCGGAGAAATGATCACGTCACCTCTCTTCTCTCCGAGATTGTTTCTCGCACTACATACGTGTCGTACGCGTCTCGTCGCCCAATGCAACCAGGAGACGTTGGGTGTACCGAGTTTAAAGTTCAAAACCCGGCTTTTCAACGAAACGTTCGTTATTAGTAGATGTTCTTGCCACTCCTCTATATTTAATTGCGCTCTCTCGTGAAGACGCGAACTTCTTTGACGTAACTTGAACCCCACGAATTCTGGCTACAGAATTCTTTTCCAACTTTCTCGCCGGTTCGATAGCGGGAAAGATTTCGCGCGAGCAACTGGGAAAGTTGATTCCAGCCGCCGGTACATGAGTCGAACTCTGAGAAGACAAGAGTGGATTCGCGCACTCTTCGACTCTCGAATAATGCGTTTAGTCTCGGAGTCTTGGAAGCTCGTTACCAGCCGCGATCGTCTAATCTTGGATAAACGAGCAGAAGAAGGTACTCGTAGTACTTCGGGGTTAAATGTAGGCTCTCGCCCGGGTTCAGTCGACCGGATACCAGAAATTCTCGTTCCCTCGCTTCTCCTCTCTTTTCGACCGGGTGCAAACCGACCGTTAATGAAATTTTTGACGAAACCAATTTCCTCGAAAGAGGAATCCTTGATATTTCAAAAACGATGACGAATTCTGCAGAGCAGAAAGAATCGTTTGCTGTATCGACCGATTCGTAAAATAAACAAGAGGAGCGCGCGTCCCGGAAAGATTAAAGGCGTCCCGCGGAACTTTTGGGTCTCATAAAAAATGGGTTAACGCGGCTCGGGCAAAGCGAGTACGCGGTTAGTTCCACGCTTCGTAGCTGGGTTACGATGTATCGCGCATTAGTCCATTTGGAAAAGTAGTAAGTATTCTACGTTATCTTCGACGCTGGATCTTCACGTCGCGTGCAACACGCGAAAACACGGGACGACGGTCGACCGGTGCAGGTCTGAATCTTCTTTTCACGTGATTCGTAAATTCCTTCTCTTTCCCGTCGCTCCATTTCCTTCATACGCCGTGTACCGAACACCCATTGGATTCCGGGTCCGCTCGGCACGCGTACATAGAAAATACGCGATCTTTGATGCTCTCCATGCATCGCTGCTTGGACCCACGCGAACGTGCCACGTCGTTTATGCATGCATGCGAAGCGAGTCCAGAACCCGATGGCCATCTGTACACGTTCGTTTTGTTCTTGCAACACTTTTTTCGGAGGAATCATGTCGTTCTTCGGATGGAAATCTTTTACGTAACGATCTGGGAACGTCGCGGAGGAAACACGAACGACCGTCGTCCTTGGTAAATGCGGTTACCGATGAAAACTAGCAGGAAAAATCCGCTTAATGAAACGCGCGGCTGATCCTACGTCGATGCATCAGCTGTTACGTGGCAACAGGTGGTCTTTTGTTGAAATGAAAAAAAAAAAAGAACGGGGTATAGCTTTTTTAACGACTTTCCGCTCGGTCCTGGGATATAGTTGGCGTAATTTCGGCCTGCCGTTTCCTTCTTCCTCAATTATCAACGTTCCGATGTGTTACTCGTTTTCTTTTCGCGCGACGGACTTCTTTCGGTAAATAAATTCTTATACTTTGTTGCGTCCAGGATTCGGAAGAAGAGTTTGGAATTGTTCGAAAACGCGTGGCCAATTTTTTGAACGTTCATCGACAGTTTTCGTTCCTTTTGCACGGAGCGTGGAACAAAGTTGTCAGGGATAATTTGCTAGTCCAGTCACGTGAGAAGTAACGCGTAGCTCGGAATAAAGCTCGGTACAAGGTAGACGCAACAGAACCGTGTAATCGATAGATGACTCCTGGTCTGCTCTGCTCCGGCCTGGGCTCTAGTTTCGAACGGAAGACGTTCGACCAAGAATAATAGTTATTCGTCACGAACCTTACGCGAGCCTTCGAGAGGAATTAACCTTGCGTTAAAACGTTAACGTCAAAACGAATGTACTCATCGTTCGATGCAGATCGGTCGTTGTATAGCAGGTAAAAAAAAAAATTCAAGCGACGTTGGAACTTCGCAGAATTCTATACTTGTTCGTGGTCCCGTGCTCGGTGTCTGCGGATGCTGCGAACGCTTGACGGTTTTATCTGTATATATTTATTTCTTTAAGTCGTCTCCTCGGTCGAGTTTCCTTTCGATGGAACAAGGTAAATATTTCTCTCGGAGGCGAAACGGTTTGCACCGCGAAACGAAAAGGGCGGGGAGGAAAGTCGTTATTCTCCTGGAATAAAAGAGCAAGTTCCTACCGAGGATCGATTTCGATTCGATGGACTTCCCCCGACGAATGACTGTACAAAGTAGGTGCATCGTTTCCGGTGCTACTGTTCCATAAATATGGAACGTAAATTGGAACGACGACACTTATTTCGAATAATTCGTTCTCCGTTCTATGCCTTTCGAAGTATCCACGCTCGGGAACTTTTTCTCGAACTCGATTCGTACTCCTTGGGTTCCGCGGATGTTCTGTAACGTCCGAATCTTTCCTGAACTCCTTACCAATTTTAACATGTTAACTGCGGAATTCAGTTTAAGAATCTCCCACAGAGTGCGGAATTAAAATCAAGCAATGACGTGTATATACGTCGAACGCAGGGCAAATGATCCTATTATAAATTTTACGAAAAACGAGGAAGGAATACATTGCTTTTTATTTTGTAATTCTTTATTTTTCACGACGAGTATGCACGTCAACCGCACCGTCATATAGATTCGACGTTGTATACACGTCGAGCTCACTTAAGTGGTTAAAATCGGACCTTCGGCCTTTGAGTCGCGAAGCGTAACAGGGTTCCTGTCACGGAAGATCATAACAACGTTTACCAATAATTGCGAAATGAAATTGTCTCGTTGCATTTTTAACCACGGAATTGCAACATAGAAATTTCATAGAAGACCGTTTATCACGATCGGCCCTAAAAAAAAAAAGGAATTATCGTAGACTCTCCGAAGAACGCGAGAAAGGATAGAGCGATGACAAAGCCTGAGGGAAATCGAGAACGGCGGTTCAATTTGCATGGATTGGGGCACCGTTCCTATCGGCGCGGCGCGCCGGCGGGAAGCAATTAGAAAAATCGTCGAACAAACCCGTGGACCTTTAAAAGCGTGTGTCCCACGCGTGCGGTTCCTTCGAGCGAATGGACGTGGGAAGGGGGATCGGACGGGTCGGAGACGGCAAATGATCAGGAGGAAGCTTCGGCTCTCGTCGTTTAATCCTCTTTTGTTTTCCGTTCCTCCTGGAATCGGGCGACCGCGTTATCGCTCTAATTGGCTGTCGATTCGACCGGAAAGCCTGTATGCGGCTTCACTGCAAAAACGCTTCTACCGATACATCTTTATATCTTTATCGACTCGAACATGAATAATTGACTAGTTCCGTTCACAAGAAAGGCGAAAGAGAAAAAGCGTACGAGGTTTGAGTGTGACGTATAATTTATTCAACAATATTTGTCAAATTGCAGATGGTAGCAGTGCAGCAGGCATCAGAGTTCGATTGGTAGTAGAAGATCTCCGGCGGCAGTTTCAGTAGTAACGAAGCTCAGGGCGCGAAAGAACCGAGGAAGACCTGGCGGAGATCAAGCGGAAGAAAGAAAGGAAGAAAGCAGGCAGCGGGAAGAGGAAGGGAAAGAGAAAAGGAACAAAGAGGAGAGGAGGAAACGTGAAGAACGAGAAAAGGGAAGATAGGCGGCTGGTCTCGTAGGAGGACATTGTCGCGCGGATCTTCCGGTTATTCAGGGTCGAGCCTTGGAACTGCGAAGGTTGCTGATGTCCGCTACGAGCCCTACCCCTATCCCTGCCAGCTCGCCGTCGTTCGAACAGAGCAACGCGGTGACGTCGACGAGGATCGTCGAGTCGCGGACCGACCACCGAAGAAGAAGGAACATTTTTTACCTACGCGTTCTCCACGAAAGAAATACATTGATCAGTACTGCTGCTGTATCGCCGATCAGTTCCACCACCACTCTGAATGTCTTCGCACATCCAAAAGTCGTGCGTGGTGAGGACACAGGTTCATTTGCTCATTTTTTTTATTTTTCACTCTTACGTCCTTCGCGTACCACTTCGTTTTCTCCCGTCGACGACGATACTCCTTTTCCTCTGATGACTCTTGAACCACAGAAGCTCGCGTAAACACTGGCGTATTACGCTCCACGGCCGAGATCAAAATTCAATTTAATATCGGAGAAGAGGAATTCTCAGTATTTCGCGAAAATGCGCTACGCGTATGAAATAACGTTCCGCGAAACGTACCGATGTAAAAGTTAATATCGGAAATCTTTCGCGAGCTGCATCGAATTTCTGCCACTTTATGATCGTTACAGGGTCACGGATAGTCGACTCCTTTACAAGAACGATATTACGTACAGAGAAATTGAAACTCGATCGAAAGAAAATAAAACTCGATAAAGAATTTCCGTTGCACTATAAAAGTTAAGAAACAAAGCGCGGGCGAATAAAATCGCCGGAGTGTGGAGGCCGAGGAAAAGGGGATAAAGAAGTGTTTTCGCGTGGGTCGCGTCGCGTCGGTGGTCGCTCGCCGCGGCAGTTGCAAGTGGAGAAAGTTATGCAAAAGTAAGATCGCGAAGTTCTCACCGAGTAACCGATGGTCGAGCTCGCCGGGCGGCACGTTTTCGAAATTAACATTGACTCGTCGGCAATTGGAACTTTTCTTCCCGAGACTTTTCCCAACGACCATGTTCACATAAATTCTCCAGACTGTTTCCTAAATACGTCTGGCCGACACCTTTCTTTTTTTATCGGTGCTCCGTTGGTCTTTGATTCCGTGAGTCAAGAACGGTGTCAGCTAAAAGATCGTTTGCCGTTGAAAACGAAAGAGAAATGTCCCCTTTGCTCGACGTACAAAACGTTTGATCAATTGCGTGAGTCATCGTAAAATTTTCCGTCGGTATCTCGTACATACAATCTTCCTCGCGAAGTAACGGAGTTACCTCCGTTTCGAGCACTCGACGTTTATTGCGCGCTGAAGTCATCCGTTTGACCCACATATGAAAATCCTGACGCGCCTATCTAGTCGCTTTCAAATTTGATGGCAAACAGATTGAACTTGATAAACGATCCCGTATTCTATCTCCTATTATCTTCTGTGCCGACGAGCTGAATCGATTTTGAGAGGACATCGACGGTCTTATTAGCCGGACAATCGCTACCACCGTTTTCCACGATTTCGCGAATCGTCCGAATTAATTAAAAAGAAGATCCCCGCTCGAACGGTTACCATATAGGCCGGCGGGACGGTCGTTCTGTTTGTCCAATATTTGCGGTTTAATACGAGAATATCGTTTTCGTTTTGTTTTCACACGTGTAGGAGGAAGGTACCCTATCACTTTACGAAGGGATTAAATGCCGTTCCGTGTAATTAATAATTACGCATCGGATCATCGATGCTCGTTCGAACCCTCTCGATTCCTGTTTCACAAATTCTTATGGAAACGAAGACTTGAGTCGTACCATTGTCGAGATCGATCTTACCGTCGCGGGTATCAGGAATGAGAAAATGTGCAACGACGGCGGTTCAAAGAGTCGATTACCCGAGCCCGAGCCCGAACCATTCCCTTTCAAGAAGTGTTTGAACAGCCGGTTTTATTAACGCTTAATCGACGGCTGATTTACCTGGTTCCAGGGGCTTGAAGCGACATTGAGTGACAGCAAAAAGAAGTACGGCGACAAGGTGAATGCACTTCTGTCTGCCTGGGAGCATGTCACCAATTTCATTCCAGGGGCGACGCCAGAGGCCACCCAGTCTCTCATAGAATGGGCTCACAAGTGAGTCTTCAAGTATTCGCATTTTCCCCTCATCGAACTTCTCGCAATTATTTTCCGACCTTCGTTTCCTTCTCTCGATATTCGAAGATAAAAATTCGATGTTTCGTATCCACAGACACACATTGAAATTGGTATTGCGCGGGGAGTGGCCAAAGTTGTCACCCGCGACGAAGACGCACCTCAGCGTAACGTTACAGAGGTGCGCGTCTCACCTGGTGCAACACCCCGCTGCACCCAGGTGTACTGCCCTGATAGCTCTCGTGCACAATCCATGGACGCATCCCGCGCTCGACAGCATACTTAATGGCCAACCCGACGCCGAACATGAGGAAGGTACTGTTTCTTCGAAAGCTTGCGAATAAATTCGATGTTAACGAGGATGTTAAAGCTCTGATCGTTGTCCGATAGAATTCTGCTGTTCGGAGAAAGGGGAACTGTTGACAATGAGACTGAAGATACTCTGCGAGGACCGCTGCGAGGACATAGCGGTGAACCTCGCCGCAGCTTGCGTACGCTCCCTCCGGCGGAGCGATCGGCTGCGCTCGCTCTCCGATTCCCAACACGTTCATTATATGATCGACGTCTACATCGTTCTCTTGTACAAATTAAAACGCACGCAAGATATATTCGCTCAAGTGAGTGTCGAATGTAACTTGCACACGATTCGTATCTCCGGTAGTCGGGTTTGATTCGAATTAAGGAATCGTGCGTTTCATTTCAGCTAAAATTAATGGACCTTAGCGACGGACTGGAGTTGGTCCAGAGACTCAGCGGTGAAAGACCTACCAAGTATGGGACTGCGCGCGTTTGGAGGAATTCGATAAAGGCTGCCGAATTGGTCGCACAATATCTCGTTACCGCCGGCATGGTGCGTCCCGTGCCGGAAACGGGCGCGAACATTTTGGAACAGATTCTAACTTCCTGGGCGTTGTTGCATTTGAAATTAAAGGACGTCGCGCTCACGTTGCCGGGAATGATAAGGAAGCTGATCGAGCCCGCCGAAAGCGCTCAGCACATTTACATTTTCTGCGCTGTACTTCTCAAGCACGTGAGTATCTCCATTGTCGAATCGGTACCATCATCCGTCCCCTGGTAAAATATATGACTAAAGAAAAACTTTGGATTTTCATTTGCTTCCAATTGCAGTTTGGCGACAGTATAAAACCTCTGGTGATCGAGCTGTATATCAGGGCGTTGACCACGGACATGAACGAGCTGGAGAGCCAAAAAGCGAAATCCGACACGGAGAAGGTTCGCGAGACGGCGAAACGGCTAAGCACGCAGTTTCTGAAGCTGGCCGACGTCGTTGGTAGCAACATCGGTATCGCTCGGGAATGCGTGTTGACAGCTTTCTCTCTTCATCCGACCAGGGCCTGTTACGATAGGATCAAGGAGATCGCCGTCGCGTGCGGGAAGACCAAAGAGGTTGGCGGTGGTCCGTCCACCGACGACAAGGCCGTGGTTGTAGAGAAGCTGAAGCAAGTCGTCGAGAATAATCATTCGAACGCGGGTTTGACGAGAACCGAGAATAACACTGCGGACGATAGTAAAAACGATGAGGCGGGGAAAGTATCGGGCGCGGATTCGAACGTCAAGAAGAACATCGATTTTCAGAACGGGCAAGTGAGCAAGACTTTCGAGCGCACGGATCAACTCCTGAAAAGTCTTTTGACTCCGAAAAAAGATGACGCGGTCGACAGGTGCTCCTCGCATTCAGCGGGGGAGTCGGCGTCGAACAAGACTCTCGGCGAGCTGCGTTTCAACCGCGAAGAATTCACTGGGAACGAGGAGTCGAAGAACGGATCTCAGGAAGCGACGAAGGACGACGCGTCGAAGAACATCGAAAGGACACTGGACGCTCTGATCCTGATCAAGGGCGAGACAGTTACGGAGTCCGCGAATTATGACGAGAAATCCGTGCCAAATCAAGTGTTAGACGCGGGTAAACTAGGTCTGTCGCCGCAGCTCTGTGACGATCTCGCCGTTGTTCTGAGCAGTCCACGTTATCACATGTTGACCTGGGTGCTCGATTGGAAGGAGTTGAACAGCTTGTGCGAGAGATACTTGGAGAACGCCGAGGAGATGAGGAATACCAATAAGGAGCTCAAGTATCTGAACATAGATTATTCCCAGTTCAAGGATTGGCCTTCGGAGGATGAGACGAAGGATATTTTCTTCGGTATCGAGAAGGGATACGAACAATGGGTCGACTTGCCTTCGGACAATTCGGAACAGTTCGGTAGCTTCCAGCCTGCCGGCGGTTACAAGAGATCGTCGACTAGGATCGACGATACGACGACGACCGACTCGGACAGCGGGAGCGTCCAGCGGATACGGAGAACCGGCAGGCAGAGAAAGGTCCACAGATTAGAATCGTCAGAGAGCGAATACGACAGTAGAGAACGTAAACCGAAGCACTTTCGAAACAGAGCAAGCTCGATGTCCGATACTGATAGCAATACGCCAGACAGCCAAACAGACAGCCTCGACAGCAGTGGCTGCCGGCTGGACGTAAAGAAGAAGCCGGGCAAAGCGTCCGGCAAGGAGGCGAACAAGAGGCGTTCGAAGCCCTCGAAATTGACCGTCGAATCGGTCTCGCATTTTCATATGCTCGTTAATGAGAATGTTCGACACACGAACACAAACGAAGACGCAAGCGGTTCTGACGTGAGTAGTAACGATATTATAACTTTGTTCTCTGCCGATATGGACGAAAATAAACGGGAGACGATAAAAGGTTCGGCATACACGGCGGCTGCGCCTTTAATAATTACAGAGAGGAGGAGCGACCCAGCGGTGCTTAAATCGTTGAGGATGTTCAGGCCACAGAACGCGAAGAAACCGACGAGAATCTCTCAGATACTTCAAAAGAATCTTTTGAACAAGAGCAAGGACAATAATAATTTAGAGAACAGTGCGAATAGCGCGACGAAATTTGCGCCGATGCTTAGCACGCTTAATTTAAACCCAAAGATCGTATTGACCAGAGCGGATGAACCCAATCGGAAATTAATCAGATCGAAGAAGCAGCAACGACTGAGTAGCGGAGATATTACCAGCGAGCTAATCAACATTCAGAAGAACATGCCATTCTCTCCGAACAAGAACACCTTGTCGACATACCAAAAGCAGAAGGGGAATGGAACTGCGATTACCGGTAAATCGGATTTGTCCTCTGGCGATGGTCGGGACTTGAACTCCAAATCGAATCTCGGGAAGCGGAAGTTGGATATTCTCGCGAAGGCCGTCAGGGACTCGGATATCTTGGCGAAAAACGTGCCCGGTTTGAATTCGTTGGACATGATGGTACCTCCGAGAATGCGACCGACGGTGAACGTGGTTCAGCTTTCGAGGAACATTCCGCAGAGTCCGAACTCTGGCTCGGTGAACAGCGGTAACACACCGCCGAGGCCGAACAGAACGCCCAGCGTAGCTGGGAACATTCAACTACCCGGTACGCCTTCCTCCGGTGGGCACGACAGCGGCGTTGGCATGAGTCCAGCCGGTCAAACGCCTCCTCCCAGGTCGTCGACCCTTCCCGACGTTGGCGAGGAGACGAATCAACCGCCGGACAGATCGCCAACTTCGTCTACAACCACGAACGTGTCAACTCAACTCGAGACCGAATCGAATTTAAGGACCGTGGTGATTCGACGAAATCAACATAGCCAGTCCCCGAAGAAATCACCCTCTCCTTGCTCGGGGGTCGCGACGACGACCACGACGACCAGTTCGGAAATAGCCGCGACCACCATTACTTCCGATCAGTTACAAATCGTTTGCAAGTCGGACGGTTCTTACGGCCGCGTGGTTACGGTGAATCCAAACGTGGTGTCGAACCAGAGGAACATCCTTAATCTGCAAAATATCGACGATGGGAGCGTTGGTAATTTCTCTCGGCAGAATCAGAGGAACGAGAACGCGTCGAGCAGGAGCACGTACGACAGGTTGACGTCTACGAAAGCGTCCACACAATCGGGACAGAACACTGGTTTGCCCAAATTTCAACAGGCATTCGGGAAGACTATATATACGCTCTCAGCCGACACGTCGACGAGCGGTGGTACCGTAATTACATCGGAGACTCAAGTTCAATCAGCTTCTCCGTCGAAGACTACGAACTTGTCGAAAGCGGTGCAGACGTCCGTTCGTAATACGCAGCATACGAACTCGTCCTCCGGTATCAACGTACAGTCGATCACAAACATTCCAAACGCATTACAATTGTCCGCAAATAGACAAATATTGAATATCGTCCAGAGTTCTGGAAACAACGCGAACGTGGCGACGAGCCCGAACACGAATCAAACGTTGACGCAGCTGGTGCAGAGCGTTCAGAACGCGTCACCGGGTGTGATATACACGCACAAAATACCTGTTACTATATCCACCACGAACCCGAGTCAATTGAACATTATACCGACTATATCGCACACGAATTCGATACCAGCCGGTAGAACGCCCGTAGTAAAATTGAACATAATTCGCACTCCCTTGAGGCAACAGAACATCACCGGAGCTATTCAAGCTGTCTTGGCTACGCCTAGATTGCAACAACCCCAGCAGCAGCAGCAACAACAACAACAACAACAGCAACAGCAACAGCAACAACCACAGACGTCGCAACAGACACCAGTCAGAACGGACAGTTTGCTCGGCTCTCCGATAGAAGTGACGAACCAAGTCAGTTCTAACACCTTGGAACAACAGCTGAGAGAATTCGAGAGCGTTTTGGAGCAAGTAAAAGGGAGGAGTACGATTCATCCGGATTCTCATCAGACCGCGTCGACCACGGCTACCACGACGGTTCAGACGCAGACCACTACTCAGCAGACGCAAGCTACGAAACAGCAGCAAGTGTCTGTGAGCGCTTTGGCTCAACAACTTCTGATGCCGACACAGCAGTCCGGCAACAGCGATTTCGCGAACAACAGTAACACCGTGAATTTCCAACAAGACGTATTCTCCCAAAAAGTTTCACTGGCTTACGTGAACCAAAACGCGGCTGGACCTGTCGCCACGAAGACTCCGAATTCTACGCCGGTCGTCGTTGTCACCAGCTACTGTCAACCGGCAGCCTCGCCGGCGTTGAGCGTCACTTCGCAAAGTTCTTCCAGTCCGTGCGTCACTCCGGCACCGGCATCCATACCGTCCGCCGGGAAAACACCTACCACTTCGCCTTCCTCGAAAACAGCGAAGAAGTCGACGCAGAAAACTTTAAAGACCAGCGCCACGAACACCTCGAAGGCTTCGCCGATACCGAAGCCTCAGCAAAAACCGCAAGAGGACGAGCAGACCACTCAAAGAATTTACGCGATTCTAGATGAATACGCGGAACAATTGCGAAATTCTCCAGATCTGAAGAACAAACCAGCACCGAGAAGAAGATCGAACCCACCGACAAACCCTAGTCAGTCGTCGAAGAGGAAAAAATCGAACGCCAACAAATCGAAACCGGCTGGCCAACAGAATCCGGAACTGAGTCCGAGCACGGACGATCTTGGTAGAACCATGGGCAGCGAGGACTCTTCAAGCGGCGTAGCACCGGTGCAAGATAGCCCGGCAGGTTTTTCCGCGCCGGAGGAACCGACCAGTAACGTCGGGAACATGACGGACGCGGCAGCGGAAGTCAGGAATTTGACCAGCGACTCGAACGATGGAGTTGAACTGAACGCTAAGAGGCGAAATTTGATTTTTACGGAGCCGGGTTCCGGACAACCTAGGGCGGCGGTGATCGTACAGGAAGCTATGCAAACTAGCTCTGTGAGCGTCAGCGAAGCTTTGGCCTCGGTCACGGGGAAAATGGGGAGCACCGCTGTCCTAGTTCCAGGCACTAACTACATCGTACCGATGAACCTGGTAAAAGGAGGCCAACAATTCACGATAGTATCCAGCGGTTCGAAGCTTCTCGCGGCGGTGCCGGCGACCGTTCGAACCGCCGGAAACACTGGAGTTTCAAACACTCTTGTTCTCCAGTCCTTTCTGAACCAGGCTGGGAAGATAATCTCCCAGCCGCAGGTAAAACAAGTGAAACTACCAACGTTACAAACATTGTCGGGCAATCAAACTCTGACCACTGGGCAGAACGTCCAAGGCGCCTCCTCGGTAGTGATACCTCCGACGGGAACCAGCGGCCAGTTCGGGAGCGAAACACCCACGGAGAAGAGCAACGTCGCCGGTGATTTGGCTACGGTAAAGTCCGAAACTGGAGGAGTCGCCGGCGAATCTACAACGAACTCGATCGTTGTTAATAAGAGCAGCCCCGCGATTGGTCTGATACAACGTAATTTGAATGAGACCACGGAGAACCAACAGATATGTGGAGTGATCACCAGCAATCCTAATTTATCTTTACAAAGTGCGAGGCTGTTCAATTCTTCTATTCACAAATTGTCTACGCCGGGATTGAAATCGGAAAACGTGGTGTGCTTGACGCCTTCGGCAACGGTGAGTCATGCAGCTGAGAAAAAATCGCCGCAGGAGACCCAGGCTCAAAACGAAAAGCCTGTGTCGATTCAAAGTAGTACTACGATTGCTCTCGCTTTCGCGACTCAGTCCGACGTTTCTATGCTGAACGACCAACAGCAGCAGCAACAGCAACAGCAACAGCAGTTACAGCCGCAGCAGCAACAGCAGCAACAAAAAGACACGAAGGAGGTGCCCATGGATATAATACCTGGCTCTAAGATCATCTCCCCGAAAACGGTGAAGAGAAAAATCGACGACGTATTGGGTATGTCGGAGACTGTTCCGAAAACCTTGATCACTTCCGAACGCTCTGTCATTTGTTCGGGCCATATCGCGTCGTTACACAGTAACGAGAAAAAAATTGGTTAGTGTTTGTTTGAAAACGATCAAATCGCGTGAACCTTACTATTCATATTTTTATTAAATACAATCGGCTTGATGTACGCGAATCTTGTAATAATTGTCGATGATATTTGTCCACAGATTCCATGTCGACGATGACAGTTGCAAGCAAGCAGTCCACAGGGATCGACAACGCGACTCAGTTCCTCGTGACCGGTGGTCCTAGCAGCTCGGACAGCCAAGAATCTCCCGTGCAACAGTCCGGCGACGGTATGGATGTTTCGTGCAAAGTTGGCAATGGTTTACTGTACGGAAACGCGAGGTTGCAAGAAGCCTGGGAACCGGAGGGCAAAGTGTCGCCTGATACTCCTTGGCGATACGTTCCCGCGTCTACGAACTCGTTGAACATCGAGCCGTTGAACTCGCGATACCAGGAGAATACGGACAACGTGCAGAGCGTCCTCCAGATCATCAACAAGGGCCAGGGCATCGAGATGGCCAGCGGGCATATCTACCAGTCGAACACGAAGAAGTATATCATGAACCATACTTTGGAACCGTTCCAACAATATTCGAACAAGAACAACATGATGAAGATACCGTTGAACCCTAGATTGGATCGGGAACTACTGCAGCAGAAGACTGAGAGAAAAGCGGCTGCAATAGAACGCGAGATGAGGTTGCAGAAAAGTCTGTCGGAGGAGTGCGAGGATCTGGGAGTGGACGAACCGAGCACCAGCGATCTTTTCCCAGAAGCAGATCTATTGTTTGACAACAATCATTCACCGTCGTTCGATCACTCTTCTCAAGACGCTTCTTGCAGTCAACCGCTGGGAATGAAATCGTACGGCGGTTCTTATTTCCGATCTCTGGATTCGTCGAGCGGCAGCAGGGACACCAGTCCCATCGCCGACTTGAAGATAACCGAGCGTAGGAGAAGTCTGAGCCAACGAGCGAGGTCCGCGCAGGAATCGTTGAAGAGACCGAAGAGAGATAAGGCGGAGGATCTGCGTTTAGACAATCCAGCGAAACACATGCGTCTAGCGTTGGATAATCTGAGTCAGGACGAGGCATCGAACAGCAACTCGGACATCTCGAGGTTGTCGCCGACGAACTTGGGTTCACTAGAGAACGATTCGCTGAAGGACACTGGTCGGACGAAGATCATGTCGCGGAACGGTTCCAAAGAAGGCTCGCCGAGCAGCGTGTCCAGCATCCCCTCTAACATGAAACTAGACATCGATCTGGACTCGGAATCGTTACCACCGAGTATCAACGTGAACAACACGTCCGCGGCGAGCTCGGGAGACGAGAGCTTGACCTTGCTCAGCGGGAACAACGCGGACGTGACGATACCCTCGCCCCTCTCGCCAATCGCTGGCCCGATGCTCTCGACGCATAAATATACGTACACCAATAAAAAGCGGATCGCGTCGAAACTTACGAGAATGGATTATCTTTCTTGGGGAAGTCCGATGTCTGAAAGAACGAGATCGAGCAGCGACGAGGAAGATTCCAGTATAAGCGAGTCGGTAAGCAGCCAGCCGGAGGAAAACACGTTGAGCAATGGTCTCGAAGACAGCGTGCAGAGTCTCAAGACCCCTCGCGATCGCCACTGCAACTTCTTGAAGAAGAAGGAGAAGCTGCAGATGAACTCGAGGATGATGTTGAATCGAGCCGATCACAAGGGAAGCGGTTTGTCGAAGCGCGGCAAGTCGAACGAGTCGATCCAAGAGTCGGTGATCGTATCCAGCGACAAGACCTCCGAGCCGTCAGACGACGAGGCAGGGAACATTACTCTGGTTGAGCCGGACTGTCGAGCCAGGCGTTCCAGTTTACGTGGACACGTTAAAAAAGGCTGCGCCTGTTGCAACGGATCGCCAGAGAGGCCAAAGAAGAAGGCAGTCAAGTCGGATCACTCCAGGTTAAAGAAACGATTGTCGCTGAAACAGGCCGGCAAGAAGAGGTAGTCCTAGCGTTCGAACGCTCGACGGAGCATCGAGTATTCTATCCAAGTACTTTGTGCTCATCCCTGGCGACGCTTCTCCAGTGACGAAGGAATCATCGCATGTTCGTAGCTTCTGAAAGCACGTCGAGATATAATCGCTCCACCGGACGATGCCTGTAACAAGCTTGTACATATACATATTAGCAAATGCGAAATTTGTTAGACATGTGCTTTTGCGATACGCTCGTACGCGATGTGCCTGTACTCGCGTAGGTAGCGAACCTGGACCGCGGGGCAGTTCTCCACTCGATATAAACTGACTCTGAACTCTTTTCGGGAGATGAGAGTGCGCGAGAAAGAGGGAGAGAATGGTTTATTACAACAGTTTTCGATAACAATAGATCATCCTTTTACCATTAGCCGTTACTACGATACTAGTTGTAAGGTGCAGATTATAATGAAAGGCAGACTTAGATTAAAATCGTTACGAATATTAGAGACACAATCTAGTCAAGAGACGGCGAGAGCTTTCGTGAGTGATAGAAGCAGCCGTCGAGGTGAAAGGGATTGCAAACGAGACATTTCGACGAAATGGAGAAACAGAGTGTACTCGATCGTCGAGCGATAGATCCCTCGCAGACTAAAGAATTTATTATTAAAAAGCCTGAATTTATAATTCTGTCTATCGTATCTATCTGTCGCGATGATACTGTTCCACGTTCTTAAATGGTATGGTCAGACTGAGTAGACGAACAGTCTATATGTAGATCTCGTTTGATGAATTAACGTAGTAGTACACGCATTGAACTTCTGCCTTGCCGTAACACTTTTCGATAACTTCAGACGACGAGTTTCAACTTTGTACCCGAGGCGATCCTTGTAAATCGCGATGCATCGAGACCTCGATGCGACGAATCGGAATTTAAAAAGAGCGAACTACTAGCGGCAATAGAAACCAAATGAAGGGTACAAGATCTAAAAGATATCGAGAATAAGAGGAAGTGAGGAGGACGGGAAACTATGTAAAGCAACGTTGAGTCTCTCTGCAAGAGGCGACCATACCTTGTCACGGTGCATGTAAAGAAAAAAAAATATTCAAAAACTGTACATTACGTAGATAATTCATTAAACGTATAGTATTATATCGCTGCACTTTAGTACAAAATCGCTTCACCTTGTTTTCCGAATGACAAGTTTATATCATCTTTTGGTGTGCTGTCGTGACGCGTGAATGCAACTGCAACTTATTATAAAACGAAAACTTATACGCAAACAAAGAAGAAAAAAAACGTTGTAAAGGTTGTATAATTAAGATACCGCGAACACTTTTAAAAACAGAAGGTTTCCGTACGTTTCTTTCGCGTCTGAATAGAGATGAAGACACGCGAAACGCTAGGGGCTCGTTAGATCGAGACGTTTATTATTAATTATTATGTATATCTATCTCGGCGCGGAGACACTAAAGAGTTAAGGATGTTGAAAAGTAATGTTCCTGTGAATAGCCTCCTTTCGTGATACGAACCAAAGCGACTCCGTTTTTAGAAGCCAACTATAAATCGAAGGAAAGGAAAATGATAATGCAGAGATGATGACTCGACAGAGGAAATTGCAGAACTATGAAGGGGGATGAAGTCAAGGGAGAGCGTATTAAATTTATTGTCTTTCTTATGTAATCGGGATGTGTATCAGTTGCTTCGTTCTGAACGTAATTAATGTAAGATAGACATCTTCATTTTTCCATTCTGTCAACGATTAGTAAAATTCTACCTCGTACATGCGTCGATCATTTGTCACGTGTATCTCGTCATCTTTTTAAGCAATTTATATAACGCGAATAAGTAATTATCCGCTGAATCGCCCCGCTGTGACCCGGTACGATTTGCAATAATACCCTTCACCCCCTTTGTGCAGAGGGCGAAGGGTATTATGAAACGATTCATTTCATCGTTGCCCAGTAAATTGATAGTGAAGAGAAGAAGGGTACATCGTCCGCGAGAGTTGTATCTTTAGCAATAACGAAGCGCGAAGAAAGAAAGAAGGGTCTGTGAGCATCGCTCCATTTAGGCCCGAGGCCTGTACAAATCGACCGGTCTGGTTTGCCCCATCATCTTCCATTCCGATTGTATCTTGTAAATAAAAAACGCGTTCGAAATTTGTCGAGTCGTTCGGCGAGACGATGGCTGACTCTCTCGAGTAAACATGGTTCCGGTGAGTCTCCAGCGGTGCGCGATGACGAGAGAGAAATAAAGTTAATTTTGTCATCGTAAACTAAACGTTAAGCCCTCATCTTCCTGTACAGTTACTTAACAAACGACGTAGGAAACAAAAAGACGCAAAGGGAGGACGCGTGAAACCTGAATCCTCGGGAGGAGACAGGCGACGACGGCTCGGCGGCGAATAAATTAGAGGCGAAACGTTAGAGAGAGATGCATCTTTTGTGTGTAGGTGTACATTTTTCGAAGGAACGTCGCACCAAAATAATGATATGTATTTTTTGATGGAATGGAAAAAGCGTTGCATGTAGCTTATACATTTAGCGCAGAAAATACAGTGAGAAACAGCGTGTGCGTGTATGTACGTATGCGTGGAGCGGGTGAAAGAGACCGAGCGAAAGACAGTTTAAAAAAAAAAAGGTAAAAAAAGAAGCGAGAGGGAGAGGAGATACGATTGTCAGTGATAGTCTGGCCTCTTTTGCCACCTTTAGTCGTACCAATCGCATTTATGATAGAGAGATAACTGTAGTCTTGGTAAAATGAAGAAAAGAACTCGTAAATGAAATGTAATTAAGTAAACGAGAAAGCTAGAAGAGAACATTTAAGAATAAGTAAATCTTTTCAGAGCCGAGAGCTTTTCAGGTACTTAAAGAAAATAAGAGATACAGTGGATGAAGCGATAAACGAAGACACAGGAAAAATAATGGGAGGGAAGTATGTAACGTGGAATGGAACAAAACCGCTTTACACCGGCCGTTAAGCGATTAACTTAAAAGTTTTTGTATCGCGTTTTTTTTTTGTTAAGACTACTGTTTTTTCTCGCTCGAAGACACCTCCTTACTTACCAGTATTCACGAGGACGATGTCCGTCGCGTCACTTTGATATCTATGAAACTACGAGCGAGCAGTATGGGAGAATAATGTAGGGAAACGAAATGATCGTAGAGAATGGAAGAGAGAACGAGTGAGAGTGAGAGTGAAAGAGCGAGAGAACGGCCGTGCACTGCAAAACGTACATTGATTGAGATTACATACGTATTGTTCAAGCACAAATCAGTTGAAAATCTGAGAAACAAATAACTAATTACGAAACGATGAAGGAGACCGATGAGGGACGAGAAGCCAGATGTGAAGGGGGGTAGAAATTGTTGAAAAATGATTTAAAAAGAAAAGCTAAATATAATTGTAGACATCGGTACAGTCATGTCCTGAAAACCAGACAAGTTGCTTAAAACCAAATCTGCTTCTCTGTATATAATCGAAACTGATTGAAGAAGACAGCTAAATAGAGAAATACGAATGAAGGGAACATTTCTTTTCTAGACATTACCATTATACATATGTACTGTATTTACATAAAACATTATAATAATGATACATATTTTCGAGATACACGACCAGTCGGGAAAAATGTTTGCTCGTGGAAGGCCGCGCGGTTCGATCTAATTATTATGCATCATTGTACTAACGTAGAATCAATGTTTTACATGTGAATACACAGACGCGTGCACACTGACATTTCTATGTAAATAATTGACGAGCGTTTTATGTGAGAGTAAAGGAAAACAAGAGAGAGAAGAAGTTTACGCGTAAACAATTGCAGTTTCTTCGTAGTTTTCTCTGTGCGATAAATGTTATTCCTTTCGTGACTTCGGCGGATGCTGAAAAGGGCCTCGTTATTTTAACACGTTCAGACAAATACACGTACCGGACTGATACTATCAAATTTAGATTTCTAAGATCGTTCTACTCGTAAGTAAAATCGGTACAAAGAACCAGCAGCGGTGTAGTACAACTTCAAATATTTTTAGCAGCAGAGAGCGACGGGTACGTGAGCGAGTACTTATACACCTTCTAATTTCTCGGGGTTCACCCGACTCGTGGAGAACGGAAGTTTCTTTTCTTCTTACCCCGACACTTCTCTTTTCCACATCTTATCCCTTAGAGATTCTCTCGCGAACGGCGATATCGTTTCGTTTAATTTCGTACGAAGGAACGCTCCGATTAAATGATCGCGATGAATGCGTGTACGTGCCCGGTTTAAAATGACGATTGACTTTATATACACGTGCGTTGAAACTGTGCTTTTTATATGCTTCGAAATTGGCTTTCGTTTTCGATAGTTACGAAACAAAAAATACACGAACGAAACTTGTCGAATTACCAGCAGTTAGATATCATCAAACGAATATCCGAAGGATAGGGAGGGATTGGGAAGAGATCGAGGAGCGAGAAACGATGTTAATTACGTTCATAGTTGCTGAGAGTTACCATCAAGTATTTTCATGTTCAAACGTACGAGGAGATGTAAAGGCGGATGAGAAACGAGCTGTGTAATTGATCGATCGATGTCGTTGATTTTGGTCAGGAAAAGAAACGATGAAATACTCCATGGATATGACTGTACAGCGTATTAACTTGTCCGGAGGTACATATATCGGGAATCCTTTTTCAAATCGGAGTATTAAGGATTACATATTGTACATAAACAAGACATATTTTCTATATAAGGGACGTCGCTCGGTAAGGCCGATGGCTCGAAAAATATTGCAATATTACGATAATTCTTTTAAGCGGTAGGATAGCCTTTAATCGTTTTATGTAATGTAATGATAGAAGAGGGTCTGGCAGAATAAAAGTGAAAGTTCTGTATTTAAAAAGTTTATTCCCTCGTTGGTCGTTTATTTCACAAGCTACTGTTCTCAGGGTTTTCGTATTCATTTTGTTGAGCTTCCACCTCCTTGAACGAAAACTATTTAATTCATCGTCCGTACCGCAATTCCAACGCTTACTTACTCGTTGAATAATGTCCAATAGTGAACTGCTGTTCGATTGAAAGAATTCGTTTATTTCCTCTGGTACGCAGAAATGATCCGGAGCCTTCGGTTGGATACCGATCTCTTCGCCGATGAATCTGAACTCTGGAGTGTCCTCTATCTCATTTTGCAATTCGTCGTAAGTAAAAAGTGTTCCTTTAGTAGAGGCCTCGTCCAAAGGCCCGAAATCGACTATCTTCACTTTTTCTTTTTTATACCGTATAACGTCGAACGAAACTGCACCGCGAAAGGTCATTAATCCTAAGAACGCACAGTTCTATTTGTCGCAAGTTCGTTACTTACAATTGTTCAAGGGAAACTTGTCTTTAATGTGCTCCGTAAATAAGCTTTTAATATCCGTTTGAATATTATACTTTTCTGCTTCGTTGTAACTATGATACTGCGATATATCTCGTTGACTAATGGCTAATAGAAAGGAAAATAATCTATTATAGTGTCCTCAGATTTGTTTCGATCAAAGTATCCTCTGAAATTACCTATAAGTTCTTTGTTTATTACGAAACATCGGAACTCTGTACAAGGATTGATGTCTCTCCATTGCTTCAGCACAAGACACGATTTTACAGGAGTCTTGCGGTCTGTACAATTTTTCACATTACTTAAATCCCTGGAAATTCTGTCAGAACACTTTAACAGTAAATATACTTCCTCTAACGATCTACACTTGAGTGTTTTAGTGGGTGCGACCCAGGTAGCATCCTGAAAATAGATTTAGGATATATCATGGACCAAATGTTGTTCCCATTGTATCTTTACATTAAAGATTAAAGTAACTGCATACCGAAGGTGAACTCCAATTACTTTTTATAAACACTGCACCGTATTCATCTAAGGTGTCTTGAATTCTTTGACTGAACTCCGGAAACGTTGGCTGTAATTCGGATGATTGCTAAAAAGAAATAAGTTTTAAATCACGTAGCGTAGATTACTTTACGTTCATCCCAGTACCTCTTCGTTTGCTACTGGAGTTCCATCCGTCCATTCTGTATTTTCTAATGTCGAGCTCGTCGCCTCGACTGGTAAAACGAATGCGTCGTGTTCCAAATAATTGAATACTTCATCGGGAATACAAAGAATTGTAGCTTCTAATGATTGTTTACGAAACTGCGGATACCACGTTGCGAACGAGCACTCAGATTTCACATGATTAACCATATTTGACACGATCGAATGAAAATTTAACTTTGAACTTTTGCAATGTGTTGCACGAGTAAGTAGATCGAACTGCGGATTTTGTTTGTTCGCTTCGGCCTAGTAAACGCGTGTATGCGCGTGGCGTGAGTCATGGTTGTGGGCTGAACAGAAAGGAAATTTTCTCTCTGACCTGAGAACGTGTAACGATCTCTTTTGTATCCAAGTGCAATAACAAAAGTAATATTTTATGAAAGAGTACAGCTCGAAATGATCGAGTCATGTACGAAGAAACGAATGTTAATCGGGATCACATTATTGGGAGGGTTCGTTTTATTCATAATTTCATTAACATCACAGTTACAATTTGAAATAATGAGTACATATTTCGATATTTAAGACACGCGTACATCGAATGTTCCTTACGATTATATTTCACGTTTAAGGTTGACGGTATTAGTATTAATTGTTGAGAGTCATTGGACAGATAACCCTAACAAGCTGTATTTGGAAAACTTTGAGAATACCACTACATGCATTTCTGTGGAGGAGTACGAGATAACTTCGGAATGCCATCCTTGTACTGCTTTTGAAATAGCAAGTAAAAGCATAGATGTATGCATCCATGCCAGGTACAAGGAAGTGTTGAAATGTAAGAGCGGAGAGATTATAACAAGAAGGTAAATACTTTACATCTCCGGTCTTCTAAACAATCATACAGAACAATATTGTACAGTAATGTCTGTGATTTAGTTGTGACAGAGTGGCTTGGCTGGAAGAAAGAGCATTTTGGAAGTTTCAAGCATTGACGTTTGCCTTGGCGTTTTCTTCGTGCATCAGTGTTTATTGGAGGGAAAACATTTTAAGACAGAGAATAATAAGAAAGGTAGCCAGACAATTGAGAGCCAGTGCATAAGAGTGGGTAGCTTAAAACGAAGTTTCTTCCATTCCTACTTTTATTCTGTGCGCTCAGGCAGCTGGGAAACATGAACGAAGCATATTTGGAAGTGTACTCTCTATCAGAATTGTCTGTAGCTCCTATAGAAACGATCGTGACACTGTTCACCGTGAAATATTGCAAATCACCTATCGATATCAAGCTCGTCCCAAGCGAGGAAAAGTCTTTTGAACGATCTTATACCATAGATATCTCCACTTTCGCGTATGAGGTCGTAGAAGCGGACGAGATTCCACATGCCGCGAGAGCATGCGAATTGCCCATTATCGTCGTAAACAGAACCAGCTGCGTTGCCGGTCTATGCGCTATTTTACGACACATAATTAAAGACGTCGTAGACGAGTATCCGCAACAGTACTGTCAGAGATTATTAGGATTCAAAGGTTCGTGTCTGACCGCTTGCTCGGAAGCGAGCGTTTGGACAAAATTCTGCGAGGTGGATCTGATCGAAGCTGTAAAATTCCTGCCAAAAAACGACGCGATCGAAAACGAATTGCCTTCGAGCTTGGCGAGGTTCGAGCGGCACATGTCGCAGCCGGCGAGGCTACATAATTTATACAAATATACCACGTCGAAGAAGTTCGCCGACGAGAACGTGATCCTGCGGGACGGTACGCCGGAACACACGTACGCCGAAGGCTCCTCGATGACATTGGCGGATATAATTATATTCGTCTGCGTTCGTATCTTGTTGACCGTATACCCAAGCGATACAGCGATGGATCTGCTACCGCTGATGGGAAAATGGTACAGGAAGATGATGGAGGACCAAACGATACTCGACTGTCTCGAATGTTTGCCGTCTCTGAACAACGGAAGCGAATTCGATGATTACACGGTCCCCGACGTGGCCGATGAGAGTTTATACAAGAGCGATCCTAAGAGGTACAAACCGAGAAGCCGTATTTACACGCGGCAGGATGACGTGGAGGATTCTCTGGAACTGTTCGAAAATTTGGACGTTGAAGCGGAACTGGATCCGGAACCGTTCGCCGCCGAATTGGACTTCGACTGGTCGTCAATACCTTTCGATGCCACTCCGGAGGGTGGTTCGTTGCCGGCAGCTCGTTTAAACAGGAAACACGAACAGTTGCAGAACATGTGCAAGCCTGTGATGAAGCTGGCAAAAACGGGGGACGTAATCGTGGACTTCTGTTCTGGCGGCGGTCATTTAGGTATCTTGGCCGCGTACCTTTTGCCGTACTGCACGGTTGTGTTGTTAGAAAATAAAGAGGAGTCGTTGAATCGAGCGAAAGAGAGAGTGAAGAAATTGGAGCTGAGCAACGTGAGATTCTATCAGTGTAATCTGGACTATTTCAAAGGGCGATTCGATATCGGGATGTCGTTACACGCGTGCGGAGTCGCCACCGATTTAGTTATACAACAGTGTATCAGGCAGAAGGCAATCTTCGTCTGTTGCCCGTGTTGCTACGGTTCTTTGCACGACTGTCATCATTTAACGTACCCGCGGAGCAACGTTTACAAGAGGGAGATGAATCGAGAGAAATACATGATCCTCAGCCACGCCGCGGATCAGACGCACGACGAAAAGAACGTGAAAACGAGTCAGGGATATCGCTGCATGGCGATCATCGATACGGACAGGAAGTTACACGCCGAACAATTCGGTTACAAAGTGTATCTGTCGAAGTTCGTGCCGAAAACGTGTACACCGAAGAATCACATACTAGTAGGCATTCGTACGAAGTGAATTTCAATCTTGTTATTTGAATAAAAGTACTATTTACCTAAACGACGGGACTGTCTTTTAATTTCCTCGCACGAAACGAAGAAATGTAATTGCGAGACTGTGAACGAATTATCTATGTGATACTGTTGTGCTAAGTTTTATTAAATTGTACGAAGAGATTTTATTGGTATGTACAAAAAAAGGAGGAAATAATCATGTAATATACAAATTAGTGTTATGTCAGTAGTGTCGTACACAGTTTCCTATCATTTAACTAGCTACGGAGAACGTGAGACGAAAAGAAAAGGGTTTTACAAGTATGTCAAGGAACTAGGGGGAATTATTTTACTTCCTGCTATACCACTACAAGCGCTGAGTATATGTTTCCTTTAGACAATATTGAAATTTAAATATTCCTCTGCTTTTATTATTTCGTTACCGCTTAACATCACTTTTGCTTTCTCTCAACATTTAATTTTGGTCTTCCAATAAAACGACTAACGGAGAAACGAAGACACAAGTACCATTTACACATTTCATGTCTTTCAAGATTGGGTTTCGTGTACTATTTACAGTTTCAGTCGTACGAGCACAGATACACCGCCACAGAATGGGTTTCTAGGTATCTGGTACAATGGACTCTCATTATATCGCTTTTCCCTTCCGTGTATATTTTCGCTCACGCGAGTACGCGTCATCTCACCCGCGAGGGAACGATGTATGAAAAGCGTGTGCGCGTTCCGAATACACTAACGACGCGTACTGGCCCTCGGTTGAAGGGGAAACGGCTGTGATCGTTTTCCCAAGATTTTTCCTCAGCAGACCCGGTCGTAACGATACAACGAGACGAACACTATTCCCTTCCTCTTAAATAGTAAATCTTACGTTTTAATAAACTTCACCTACAAAGCTTGTTTTGTCCCCGTGTGAAAGATAATACTTAACATCAAGAGATCTTAATAATTGTTATTTAATTAAACTAACTCGTGGATGTAGCGCGACGCATTCAGTAGTCCGTGAACGAACTTCGCCGTTTACGATGACAGAAGAACAAAACAAATTTAGTGTTCAATGATAAAATTGTTCGAGGCCGAGGATAACATCGTCCATAGCAAAGTTAAATTATATAGTCTACGTCTAAGAAAAGCCGCGATTAAACAAGCTGTCCAAAGACCTGTCCTAAAATGTTTAACGCCAGTGTTCGCAAAGGACAATCCTCGTAGCTGCATTCAAATAAGAGTTTCCAATTGTTTCATCTATGGAGATACGCGTACGTGAAAAAAACCGTAATCAGAGCTTCAACCGACGAGAATACTAAATAAAACGATTAATAAAGTTTGTAAACGATACAAGCGTATGTATGTACATACGCATATATGTACCCGGCTTAAACGAAATTTACGACTACGAAGAATGTTTAAACAGGTCTTCCTTGGCAGTTTGTTTCCCTTTCCTCTCACTTATACATACGTTGAATTCCTTTTCGAACGTTTGGCTTTATAGCATAAATAATTCACACAAAACACGAAGAGATTTCATCTTCATTTTTATTTAATATAAATTTTTATCGTCGATTCGAAAGGATCAATTGATATACCCGATTGATTAAATTCGAAGATACGCCGCGCGAATAATGAAGTAGACTCGAGTCGGCCCAACAATTGTACTTTTCGTTCACGATTTCGTTTTATCGAACGTTGCTGATTACCGCGAGAGGTAAATCAATTGGTCCTTTTTTTCTTTTGCCTAGTTTAAAAAGATCGACGTGCCGACCACAACACAACAAGCACAGTGCTTCTAACAAAGTATGTACTTATTTCTTGTACCGTTTATATTGCTTAATTTAAAGAGCTTGTAAACACGGCATTCTCGATACGATCTCGATCCAAAAAATACAGCTAAATCCATGGTATACATATTTTCTACTTGGTAGGAAACAAATTATTATACGTCCAAATGCATATTTAAATTTGTCGTGCCATGAAGGATCAATAAATAAGATGAATCAGAGATACACGACGTCCCTTGCAATCGAACAATTTTCGATGGGAGAAAGAAAAAATGAGCCTACTTCGAACGACGAGCTTAAATTGATTTACTTAACGCGCGTACGCGAGATACTTTACATTTGTTCCAGGTGGCACGTCTTTAAAGGAGAGAGCATCCGGTTTAGAAGCCCGTTAATTTATTAATCTATACAGAACTGATAATAATTAGCGTTTCGTTTCGAGTGTTTATTATTAATTTTTTAATCGTTTCAAAAAATGGATCACGACTCCCCATTGCCACTGTCGTCACCGTCCTCGTAGTCGCTGGCGCTCATTTGTTCGTCGTCGTCGTCGTCATCCAACTCGTACTCGTCATCGTAGAAATCCGTCATGTCCAGCTGCTGTTCGGCCGGCCTCGCGTGAGTCTTTATGCAGTAGTCCTCCAACGTAACAGGCACTACGATGCCTTCTTTCTCGGCCTCCATTTTCGCCGCCTGTGCTTGCTTCCTGCGAACCAGTGATCACACATTTTCCTACGCTCTGCGTCGAACGTTTTGTCCGGAAACACGCCATACTTTAAACTTGCGACATGGTTCACTTTTATATCAAGCACGCGCGTCGCGTCACGGATATAAATAGTATGCATATTAAACGGCGTTCCGGATTTTTTAATTCTCACATTAACGATTAAACTTCTTTAAATCTCGAGCATTAATTAAAAAATCAAATGTCAATTGCCAATAAATATTTGATCGAATTAAAGATTCAATCGCTCAACTGCGATCATGATACTAAATAAGTAACGTAACTACATTTAACAATCGACTGACGAAGCGAAAAGAAGGAACAGAGAAGCAACGATAAGAGATGGAAGAATGCGGAATAAGTTAATATACCTTATGATATTTTCATATTCCTTGTCTTTACCCTTGGAGTCGCGCCAGCGCCTATACATCACGGAGGCATCCACATTGGCTGGGCTGTACGTGTTGGGTTCGTTCAACAGTGAAATTACCGACAGCAGGATCGTCCTATTTGAAAAATTCACAACTATCAGTAGATCGCGCATTTGACGATGCTCGGCGAACAGCTCGAGTACATTTACTCGGATCTCTTCCCTTACCTGACATTCTGTGTCGGATTCCACCTCTCGCATGGTAATTCGCCACTTTGTGGATCGTCTACTGGTGGATGTAGGATCGATATGCACAGATCTCCGTTCTACATGGAACAATAAAATAATAATGATTCACTTTCGTCTCAGTTAAAAGATCGGATGGGATGTCTCATGCTCGAAAGATATGATTTTTTTTAATCCTGCGATCGCATACATGAACAGTAAAGGATCGTTTAACGTTCTCATTCTTGAAGATTTTGGCAAGAAGATGATCGTTTGGCTCTAGGAAGGAAAGAAAGGAATCGCCCAAGGGAGAAACGAGGCTTCGACTGGATCGAAGGACGCTATTCTCGGAAATCTGCGAATCCTTCTACGAACCATATTCGGAGTCTCGAAGTCACGGACGCGAGAGCAGTTCGCTGTTTTCAGAGCGACGACGTCTCTTCACGGTCGAGAACGAAACATGGAACAAACGATTGCACGAGCCTAGCTAAGAGCGTTTCCAGCTGCTCCAGCCGACAGGTGATCATCGATTGATCTTGCGAAACTTTTAACTAACGATTTTAATCGCGATGCTCGAAGGGAAGCGGGTTCCGAGACCACTTCCGTGTATCTACTTGGCAATCGCGATTAGCATTTACATGGACGACTTCTAACACCGTACGTCTTTGCGGAACGTTCGTCCCGGTTCACCGAAGCGTTTAAACCCGACCACCAATTGGTGGAAGAAGAGACTGCACAAAGGCTGGTATCGCTGTCAAGTGCTTTCAAGCAGGATTAACTGCGGTTCATCCAATTGCATGGATCTCAAGTTTCTTTTACTTTAAACACTCATCTCGAGCTATGACAAGGTTCACCATTCGTTCTCCATCCCAGCGATCCTTCATAATTATTAGGATCCTATATTTAACGCGTAGAAATTGGGAAAACGTATCGATACGACGCTATGGGATTCGTTCGCTAAAAGATGAAAGTAGGTCGTTCGATTTTCTTAGAGATCGGTGCTTGCGAAATCTCCCGGTCTGCGTTTCAAGTCGCTGCTGGATCAAGATCGACCGCCGCCGATAAGGACCTGAGCGTGCATGCACATTTCTCTCTTTCTCTCTTACATACGCTCTCGCCGGTTTCCGTCGACTCTCAAACAGGAACGGGGCCAGAGCGATGCACAAGGAATATTATTCCTGTAGTAAGCACGCTCTCAGTGGGCAAAAGCACGGCGTATTGCAGTTGGCGAATGGCCAACGTCGAAAGAGAATCTTCCGTGAATCCCTTAAAATTTGCGGCCACTGCGTCCAAAAAATAAAAATGTCAGACAATCCTCTGACCCGGCGACCTCGTATTTTTCACTGGCATTCGGAACGAATTTTTTTAAAAGGAAGATCGAGGGACGGTAGCCACAGGAAGTCGAGGCACGCGACAGGAAAGGTTCATGGTCGGAGGAATCCGGTTAAAAGGAAAACAGAGTTATATGTCGGATGCGCTTCGTTCCGAACGACGCGTGTGTGTATGTGCAACAGGTCGTGCGCGATTTCTTGCCAGATTACTTATAGCTCGAACGCACGATAAACTTTTATCCTCTGAACCGCATTTACGTCCGTACACGTGTACGTACGTAGTACGAGCTCCGGTGAGTCGCATGTACGGAAACGAAAATAAATCCGTGTCTCCGATGCGCGACGCCCAAAAATATCTGGTTTTAATTCTACACGTCACGAATCTCGATACAACGAAGTCGACGTCCGACTCGTATTTGTCCTTCATTAAATATAACAGCGGAGCTGTGATAATGTTCAGATAAGAAATGAAAATGGAAGATCGAGGTCAGGTTGTGCGGAGCGAGTCGAAAGAGTACATTTTTAAAATTAGCGTTGAGAAAGCGAGAGAGAGAGAGAGAGACAGATAGACATACAGACAGAGAAAAGCTTGAGCAGTAGTCAGTCTCGAAAATAGACTGATCGGATCTATCGCGAAAACTAACGCAAGACTGAAGTACTTCCTAATCCACCTATGACGAAGGGAAACGTAGGATTTTATTTCCGACGAAGCGAGTGGACCACTTTCGACGATGGTGAATCACGGACAGAGACTTGCAAAGAGGAAAGCTCGCAGACGTTCGACGGTTCCAAATATCTTCGGAGAATCCGTTGGCGTATATCGTCTACTCTCAAACAAATTGGATGAAAAAAGAAAAAAAGCCTAGTTCTTGTCCCAGTCCAAGTTTCCTAATCACAAAGAACACGTAGTTCCTTTAAGGATGTATTGACTATACCTTCAATCCCAAAAGTTTATGTACCTTAGAAAAATGTATTTCTTATAATT